ATTGGTTGCCTCCTGCACAAGCCCTGACTGTGGATTGAACCTGAAACCTGGGTATGTGCCCTGACCAGGAATTGAACCCGCCACCTTTCGGTGTGAGGGGTGACACGCAGACCAACTGAGCTGCACCAGCCATTCACATCTTTTGCCCGTTTCTTATGGGCATTGTTGTCACCCCAAAGCTCTTTGTGGCTTTAGTTGGCATTCTCCGTCACCACCCAGTGAGGATGCTCAGCACCTTTCATGTCTTCATTCATCATCTGGATAGACTCTTCGCTGAAGTCTTGCACCCGTTTCCCTTTGGAGTTGCCTTTTTAAAATGGTTTTGTACATTCCTCTTCTGATTGCAGTTATCTCTTCTTCTGCTATTTGACACCTCCCCTTAGCTATCCCTAGAATTTTTCTTTCTCCAAAATGTCCTATAAATACATTTATCATACAGTGCCCACACATTTACCCAAGAGAAACGATGACATTTCGCAGAAATACTTGTAGTGTTCAGAGCAGCTTCGTTTCTAATAACCAAAGAATTGGAAACAACACAAATGTCCATCACCTGTGAATTGATGAAAATAAACTGTGGTACAGCCCTACAGTATCCGCACTGTATGCAGCCTCCTGAGCCTGGCTTCTCCATAAGCTTCATGCTGTGAGATTCATCCCCCTTGCGTATCTTTTTGTTGTTGATTAGCATTGTGTGGATGTGCTACAGGTGAGCTATTCACCCGTGGGAGGATGCTTGGATTGTTTCTAGTTCGAGGGTTTTGTGAATAAAGGTGCTGTAAACATTTGTGCACAGGCTTTTGTGGGGTCTTATGCCTTCATTTCTCTTGTGTAAACACGTGGGGGTGGATTGCTGGGTTATATGATAAACATGTGACTGGCTTTACTAGACACTATCAGACCGTTTCCTAAGTGACTGTCCTATTTTGCGTTTCCACCAGTGTCTGAGGGTTCCAGACACTTGTGTCCTTGCTCGACACTTAGTACTGTCAATTTCATTTGCTTGTTTGCCATTCTTATTACTTTGTAATAGTGATGTGTCATTAATGTGGGGGTTTTGTGTGTGTGTGTGTGTGTGTGTTTTGTGAATCCTAACTAGGGATATTTTTCCATTGATTTTTAGAGAGAGTAGAAGGGAGGGAGAGAGACAGAGAGAGAAACATCGATGTGAGAGAGACGCATTGTGGTTTTACTTTGCATTTTCCTAACGACTAATGCTGTGATCATCTTTCATGTATTTATTTGCTGTCCATACGTCTCTTTTGATGGAGTGTCTATTGAAATTATTTGTCCTTTGTTTATTGAGTTATTTGTTTTCTTACTGAGTAGTGAGCTTGTTACATAGTCTGCATACCAGTCCCTTATCAGATGTGGGTTTTTCGAGAGTGTTCTTTCAGTCTGTGTCTTGACTTTTCGTTTTCCTAAGTGTCTTTTGCAGAGATGTTTTTAAGTCATCCAGGTCATTTATTTGTATTGTCTCCACTTATTGGTCTTTGATTTCTTCCATTAACATAGTTTTTGGCACATAAATCGTGTACGTCTTCTATTAGATTTATCCCTATTTCTTTTTCTCTTTTTTCTTTTCGGTGCTATGCAGCTTTTTGAAACTGCATAGTAGGTGGTGTGTTTTAAACTTCAATAACTTCAATTTCTAAATGTTCATTGTGGTATATAGAAATGCAGTTGCTTCTGTTACCCACACGTCCTATGCCCTACAAGCTTGTTAAACTCACTCACTAGTTCCAGTAGCTTTTTGTAGATTTTCTATGTTGACAGTTTTGTCGTCTGTGAGTAGGGACAGGGGTATCTGACTTCCCAATCTGCATGCCTCTTGTCTGGCCTGATGGCAGTCACTCGGGCCCCCAGTAGAGTTGAGTCCCTGGGAGCAGACATCCTGAGTTGCTCCTCATCTTAAGAGCGTTCAGTCCCGCTCTCATACGTGTGGTGTTAGCTGTGGGTGTTTCATAGATGAACAGGAAGTGCCCTCTGTTCCTGGCTTGCTGCATTTTATCGTGAATGGATAGGAAATTGTGTTGAATGTGGCTGTTGTAATGGCTGTTGCCCTGAGCTCAGGAGCCTCACGCTGTGCTAGAGGAACTTGGAGGGCTTTCCTTTGTGCTGCAGCTCAGGGCCCTCTGTCCCGCCTGCCCAGCCCACTGCCCACTCCCTTGGTGGGGAAAGGAGGCGGGTCTGGAGAACGGGACTGCTGGCTCTTCCTTCTGGACTATGCAGGGTTTGGGCCCAGGGTGGGTTGCGTTGCTCTGAGAGGCTTGGGCTGCACTGTGGGTAGGCAGGTCCAGGCCACATCTGTCACCAGGGGGCCACCCTGCTCCCCGCAGTGGGTTCTCTTCTTGGGAGTCCCTGCTGTGTCTCACTGCCTACAGCAGTGCCTGGCACAAGGTGGGCCCCCAGTAAACGTGTTGCCTGACAGGGACACCCCCCACTGACAGCTTTCTGTCCGTGGATCTGTCAGCCCCTGACATCCCTGCCCTATGCCCAGACTGTGCTTACCGACATTTGAGCACTTTTCCTTTGATATCAACACTAGTGGCCTGGTGCACTGATGCGTGCACATTGAAAGGCAGTTAGTTAGAAGAAATATTTTAATATTGCTATTTGCCCTTTCTCTAAATAGAAGTGCCAACCAAATTCACAATCGACAATGACAGATCGAAACACACACACGTGCGATTAGCGCCAGCGAGAGCTTTATATGTATCGTGCATGCGCTAAACTATGTTCTGCAGTGAGAAAACCTGAAGTCATTTTCAAGGTCCATCAGTTCTTTTTAGTCGGGTCCAGTTTCTAAGCTTTCTAAATCTCTGTTTTCCGGCTAATGAGAAGAAGCTAGGATTCCGCTGAGTCTCCTATGTACTGACTCCTGTGAGGATCAGACGAGATGAGGCACGGGAAACGCTTCACAGGCATTTGGTTACAGGGTGAAGTGTTTGCACCTGGCGATAAAACAAGTTGTGTTCCTGGGTTAAAGAAACTCCCTCTTCCCTAAGCTTAGAGGAAGCCGGGCGTTGCTACGTGACATCATTACCCGGCGCCCACAGTTCCCGGGCTGGGCTGGGCTGGGCTGGGCTGGGGGCCACATTTTGCGCCACGGGGTCTCGGCAGTGTTGGCTGTGATTTGGTGGCTGTCACTCCAGGTGGTGGGGCCTGCGTCCACTTGGGGGAAGCTGAGTGTTGCTGTCAGCGCCAGGTCCACAGTGCTGTTTCTCTGTAAATGGCCAGTGTGCTTCATGGTAGTTCCTGCATTGAGCGTCTGCCCCCTAGTAGTCAGTGTGCATCATAGTGACCCATCGGACGGTTGGAGGGACACTTAGCATATTGGCCTTTTATATATAGAGACTAGAGGCCTGTTGCATGAAAATTCATGCACTTGCAGGGGGGGGTTCCCTCAGCCCGGCCTGCGCTCTCTTGCAATCCGGGAGCCCTCAGGGATGTCCCACTGGTGGCTCCCCAGGGGAAGTGGCCTAAGCTGCAGTCTGGCCTCCCTCTGTGGGAGGTGACCAGCGGGCCAATTGCCGCCATCACCAGTGGCCTCCCTCTGCAGAGGGTGACCGGCAGGGCAATTGGGGGATGAGCAGCTGGCCCCACCCCCCAATCGCCCCTACGCCGCTGCTGGTCACCACCGGGGTCCTTGCTGCCTCCCAATCTCCATCCCCTCCCTCTGCCCACTGGCACCCATCTTGGCTGGCCTGGTGCTGCCTGCTCGCTGGCCCTGCCCCCACCGATCAGTCGTTCCACCATTTGGTCGATTTGCATATTAGGCTTTTATTGTATAGGATGTGTTGTTTCACATTTGTTGAGAAGGCTTCCCTTTTGAAGAATGTGCTCAGAGGGAGCCACCCACCCCTCCCCTGTGACCTCACTGCCACCTTCCTCCCCTCATGGGCCTGCAGGCTTTTCCCGGCCAACACACATGCAGTTCCTTCAGCCCAAAGGCCTGCCTGGCCCCGTCCTCCCCTCCGCATCTCATCCTCTCCATAGCAGCCGGCTTCTT